ATAAAACGGCAAAGGTATATATTAATTTTATAAGTTCTCCATGCAAAACATAGATACTCTCTCATCTTAAAACAAAATGATCCAAATCTCTCAATTCTCATAATTTTATTCATTTTATAGCTTTACTTTTCATTTATGTCTATAATAAAGCCCATGCTGATGGTTTCTTCAAAGTCTTTTCTTTTACAAAATGTCGATTTAATAAAAAAATAAATCATTTAGTGAATGATGAAGAATTATTAATAACTAACTAGTAGATTAAGTAGGTAATTTGTTATGTTTGGGGTGTGATTGAAAGTTATATATACATTATACATATATATATAAGAGGAGGACAGTAACGGGGTACTGGTAACAAACAAAGGATAAGTTAATAGATGAGATTCCCCAAAATGCTAGAGGTAGCCAAAGTAAAACGATGTAATGTGCTACTAAGTGTCTGTTTATTCAAATATCAAGCTTTCGTCTACCATTGCAGACTTCATCAGGACGCTAAAAATAACAATGAAAACTCCTTACTAAGAGACAAGATTAACCCTTTACTTGGAGGCAGAAGGCCCAATAAACTTACTTGAAACCTCAAGACAGCTCTATTGCAATAATAACCACTGTATAATAGATAAATGCATAATGCACTTTCACAGAAGACTTAAACCTTGAGGATGTCATGTAACAATCTAGATTTCAACTAAACGCTTATCAATATAACAGAATACAACATTTAGGTAAAAGGACGGACATAATTAATTTGTAAAAAACAATTATCCAATAGGGGATTACAACAGATTAAAATAAAAAGTAGTAAAAATTAATTAATAAGTCTTAAAACGTTTAATTGAAAACACAAAACAGCTGGAGAAAGCTGACAGTCGACAGAAATGAAGTAATGACAACGTCAAAGTCTATCAATCTCCATCTGCCTGGAAACCAAAAAAGAGGATTGAGGTTATGTTACACTCTGTCATTCTTAACACAAAAATATCAACTGATAGTTAGCTATTCTCCTAGATAAGGGGTACAGATATTCATACTATTTAACAATATATCGCTCTTTACTTTATATTATACAACTCAAAAATTCAAATTAACAATCACAAAACCAGCAATGTAGAGAGGCAGGCTTCAAATTAGTCAATATTATTAAAAAATAGTAACATTCCCAGAAATTTCGTCTGTTTGGAAAAGACAATCAAACAAAGACTGGTAAACTAGCCCCAATTCTTTCTGACGTACTCTTGTGGATACTTTTTATTGCTGTTAGTTAACTTTTGAGAAAATACATTGCTGGTTTTGTGATTGTTAATTTGAATTTTTGAGTTGTATAATATAAAGTAAAGAGCGATATATTGTTAAATAGTATGAATATCTGTACCCCTTATCTAGGAGAATAGCTAACTATCAGTTGATATTTTTGTGTTAAGAATGACAGAGTGTAACATAACCTCAATCCTCTTTTTTGGTTTCCAGGCAGATGGAGATTGATAGACTTTGACGTTGTCATTACTTCATTTCTGTCGACTGTCAGCTTTCTCCAGCTGTTTTGTGTTTTCAATTAAACGTTTTAAGACTTATTAATTAATTTTTACTACTTTTTATTTTAATCTGTTGTAATCCCCTATTGGATAATTGTTTTTTACAAATTAATTATGTCCGTCCTTTTACCTAAATGTTGTATTCTGTTATATTGATAAGCGTTTAGTTGAAATCTAGATTGTTACATGACATCCTCAAGGTTTAAGTCTTCTGTGAAAGTGCATTATGCATTTATCTATTATACAGTGGTTATTATTGCAATAGAGCTGTCTTGAGGTTTCAAGTAAGTTTATTGGGCCTTCTGCCTCCAAGTAAAGGGTTAATCTTGTCTCTTAGTAAGGAGTTTTCATTGTTATTTTTAGCGTCCTGATGAAGTCTGCAATGGTAGACGAAAGCTTGATATTTGAATAAACAGACACTTAGTAACACATTACATCTAACATCGTTTTACTTTGGCTACCTCTAGCATTTTGGGGAATCTCATCTATTAACTTATCCTTTGTTTATATATATATATATATATATATTATTTTTTTTGTCAATCTGTTGATTTTTTTTTCTGTGGAACTTTTTATTAATGTCTTTAAGATTTTACACACTGTTGATTATTGTTTAGTTTTATACCCTTGGTACCAGTGTTAAAGCACTGATTGAAGGATTAGTTTATTTATTGTAATGCTATTATGAAGTAATAAAGAATTGGTTAAAAAAAAAAAAAAAAAAAAAACTAACTGATATATGACAGACCTTTGAATATGATAACTTCTTTCAAACCCTTATTAATTTAACTGTGCATTAACCGAAAGTTAAAGTACCTAGGTACTCTTCTCAAATAAAATGCTTCTCTTACTTCATTGTGTTTGATTAAATATTACCACTGATTTTTGAATAGCATATCTCGAATACAAAGTACACTGAAAAAACAGCTCCCCTTACCTCAAGGTATTCAGTGATCTTGAAATATATTATCTTATGTGAAGAGTTAATCTACTGCACGAAGAAAAATTACTTTGTGTTGAGAATTTCGTGGTTCTTGATATTTTTTAAAATTACTCTTGAATGACATTTCTTTCAGGCGAAATAATATTCTCTTATACCAAGAATAATCTTTTATTGCATAATTGTTAAGCTCCTTGTTATTTGGGCCAAGAATCTTGTTTTTTGATGGAATATTCCAAAATCTTATTCAAAATTCAAGTTTCTGCCGATGCCCTCCAACCCAGTTGTGTAGTGCCTAGCAGTATAGTGTAACGTGCTGCCCACGACCTACTTGGACGTATGTGACTACTTTTCAATTTGAACAGTTATATCCAGTTTCCTATGGTGTTGCCCAGGATATCAGTGCGTCAACGTCAGGGGACCAAAATTATCTTGCAATCCTGTTTGGAAAATACTTGTGATGGCCCCAATACAAGAATTTTTGGAGGCAAACAATTTGTCCCACTACTCCCACTTGTTGGAAAAGTTTGAAGGTATATAGTATAATGTAAATTTTACAAGTAGTAGGTATACCTAATAATTATGTTTCCAATTTAGCAGTTTTATTTATTTAAATTGTAATAATATAATGATTTTTTAGTCAGTGGGCCAATATTTTGTAAAAAATGTTTGAATTCTTAGGTTAATAAATATTTACAAAAATAAACAAAATCTGATGTTTCTTTATGACCAATAATCCTATCATCAAATACCTATGGATTTTAGGCAAAAAATTCTCATCTTCACTCAAGCGCTGATGACCTCTAGTGAAAAAATTGAGATCTTCAGCTAAGTACTTTGATCTTCAATGGAATCGAATAAATTTCTTGGAACAAGAAAATTGGAAAATTAAGTACCTTGGGACAAGGAAATTGTGTTCAATACATTGGGATAGTGTTCTTGAGCCAAGAACTTATTTCTTTCCAGTAAAGTATTCGAACAATCCTATGACAAGAAAACATTTAACTTTTTTGCAGAGAATATTCACTTGGCCATATCCAAAGTCGCAATTTCATTGAATGAAGTGCGTATTACTTTGAATTGAGGAATCCTTTTTTTCAGTGTAGGTAAGTATCCATATCATTGTGCAAAATTGTTTACGCACCTCTCGGTAATTCCACCGTTGCGAAAATAATCATTACGCAAAGGACATAAAGTATTTTCGTAGGAGCACAATAAATTCAATACGATTGCCTATGAATTTTCTAAGTATGGAATTTCGATGAATAATTCACGGTAGTTTATGGTGGTATGACTACGCTTTGACCCTATGCAAAACATGTCCGTGTATATATCATAATGGTTGACACCGTTTCTCAATAATTGAATATGAATTAACTTGATGAGATTTTTAAGTGATTTTATTAATGCACTAGCTGAAGTTTTTGTAATTTAATAATACCTACCTAGCCTAAGTACACTGAATAAATTATGGTTTATAAATATTGTTGTTTGTAGTTTGTAGGTAAGTAAATCTACTGAAATGAAATGATGTTACGTTTATCCTTTAGTGAGCTTTTTATCATTTCGTTGGGGTACCAAATGATCGTCCACAATAATTTGTTTTTGGTCCCTGTAGCGACAATCACGTGATTTTTTGATGTATGATCTCTGATATCACTTTTTTATTTTCCTAGAGATTCCTTGATTGAAGGTTCCATGTACTTACTGTCCTTTCCGTTGCCTAGTTGTTCTCCTATTTTCGGTGCTGTTCTAGTTCTGAGGCCATTGATTCGGTCTTCCAACAGTCTACAGTTTTTCAACTTTCTACCAGGAGGACCAGGTAGTTTGTCGTCGAGGTTGTGTTCCTTCTAGCTTTTAATGAGCCAGGAATGGAAAGTAGGTACCCACCTATGTTTGTGTAAATTACCGCTATCTAAAATTGTAGGGATAAGTAAAAATAAGGCATTTGAAAACTAAAATAATAGGTAGGTAGTTACGTACTCGCCCCTGCCCTTCACCTAATTTGTTTATTAAAATACTTAAAATGAGCCATAACCTGAACTTCAATAGTTCCTCTCGAACAATAAATACTAAAATATTCACAGACCATAATCATTACCGTAAAAAAATACAAAAGCATAGCATCACGGTCATTAATTTTTGACCAGTTAGAACCGTACTTTTTTCAGTTATTTCGTTTATTTTAGCAATGTGAACTCAAAGCTGGTTTCATACTAAATACGAAATTTCTAGGGAATTCATTCGAACAGAAGATAATATAGTCCTTGACTTGGATATTTTCATTTTTATGCCGCCGTAATTCCGGTACTAATATGAATCAGATCAGAATTCCCCAAAAAAGTTAACACAATTTTCAATCGTATATTGTCCGGATAGTTCAAAGTCCACCTCCCGGATGCATCTTCTTCGCGGTGATGACCTCCTGGTTGTGGTGACGTAATAACCCGAAAGTTCTCACCAATAAGCGCACTTCGGCGCTGGGGGGTTGGAGAACTCTTCTTCGGTACCGCGAGGAAAGTCGGTCACTGGGCTTCGCTCGATCCGGCAGTTCTCATTCAAGAAACAGAAAACAAACGACCGTAGAAATTGAAGCATTGAAGCAACAGTAGAACTACTGCGAGAGTGTGTTGCCGATGTAGATCGTGAATATTATTATACGCGGGACAATATAATTTTTAATTGATTGATCGATTCGTTTTATTGACTTTTGTTGTGTGTTTTGTGTTTTGGGTGATATTTGATTTTTGGATTCTATAGTGCTGGATCATATGCGTAAGTTTTATATTTTATTTATTTTGTAATGATGGATTTTAAACATTTTGTGGTTTATTTTAAGTCCTTCAATAGTAGAATACTACAAATATAATTATAAAAACAATAGTTGACCATAAAAAATATTTGATTACCTATATTTTCTCTTCAACGCTCATATTACCTATAGGCAAGTATCTCTATTGTAACAACAAAGCATTTCAAATCAAAATAAAACAAAAATTATATCTTAGGTACCCTTATAATTTAAGTACCTATCCAATTTCAAAAAAAAATTCTCCAAAATTGGCAAAAAAAACTCAAAATTAATTTCAAAAAGTATCGAGATATATCGTCGTGTACTAAGCTGTGTGATATCTGTTATTAGAGAGTCTATATTGCCTTTTGTGTTCCTTTGCTTGAACTGCTCTTCTCCCAGCAGCAAACTAAATATGCTCTTTCTGACAAAGACATTTCGCCATCAGAGGTAGCAACGTCAAAAGTCTTGACGATAAAATATCACTATCGGTCTTCCCTTGAGGTATTATAATAAGAAGGCATTTCTTCTATGCCTTAGGAAAATAGGAAATGCTTATCTAGTAATAATTCTATATTCTAGCCCAACGGTTCCCAACCGGTGGATCGCGACCCCTTAGCGGGGTCGCATAGGATTTCTGGAAGGGTCTCAATGCCAATATTAATATGTATTTTTCTGTATTTACGGAGGAAGCGCAAAGCACAGGTTGTGACTCGAACGTTATTGAATATACCTATGCAAAACCTTCCAACCCTTGAGGATGAAATACAGCGTTATTTTCCCGAGCTATCTGGACAAAAAGCTGCAGTAATAAAAAACTCGTTTGCTGCCTCGTTAGATGTTGCCGACTTTCCTGATGAATTTTCCAGGATGAATTTTTAAAGCTGAAGAATGATTCTACAACATTTGCCCTATTTCAGGAAAAATCCTTGACTAAATTTTGGTTTGTCATGCATAGTTCATATCCTTATGTCGCCCTGCTTTCTTTCTGGATAGTAATCCCATTTGCCTCTACTTGCTTACTTTCGTGAAAGTGGTTTTTCAACTCTTTTGCAAATCAGAAATAGACTGGACGTTCAAGATGACATAAGATTGGCTTGTGACCAAAAATTTTAAGACCTGTTATGAAAATGCAGGCTCAGTCATCACATTAACAAAATAAAAATTGCCTTTTTGTTTTTAGTTACGAAATATTAATGGGTATAGGGGGTCGCTACCTCATAAGAAAATCTGAAAAAGGGTCGTGACTCAAGAAAGGTTGGGAACCACTGTCTAGCCAGATAGTCTGCTATTGCAATGGAAACCATTGTTGGTAAGATTCCCGAAATCTCGTCTATGACAAACGCTTTCTTGATGATCACGTTGGCAAAGTATTCCATGTCTTCTTCCTCGCTTATCCTTTCGACGTCTAATTCCGAATTCGTCCAGTATATTGTAGGTACTTTTCTGCATATTTTGTTGTGTTTTAAATTATCCTCTTTCAGAAAATGTCCCTTTTGATCACCATTTGTTACAAATTATGTAAAACGCTGGACAACGGACAACGATTCTGTACATGAACATTGCCACAATTCATTTAATGAATTTTATCAAATTGATAGGAATATAGATTAGACCTACTATCTGCAAAATCAAAAATTGAATTTTTGTATTTGGTATTTTGTGATATATGGCATTAACATCATTATCATTACTTTATGAATTTTGTTATTATGATATTCTGCGTATTATTACTATGCTGCTACAAATAGTTGTAGTTCCTTAGTTAAATCCGATGTTTGTAGCACTCCTGGGCTGGGACTCTGTAACGAATAGAGATATTTTCTCTATCCATTACAGAGTTCCAGTCCTTATCATAAATTCCTAAAAGAATCCTGCCTCTTAACAAATCATCTTCATCCTTAAAAATGTGCAAACCGCTGTAAGAGTTTTTAAATCAGTAAAGGGTTCATCAAAAGTTAAGATTGGTAAAAAAAATTAAAATGAATGGAAATTAGATTTTCGAACAGATTTCCAAATGTATCGATTTTTTTAGCTATCTCAAACTTCTTCGCATCCTTTCCTCACTACTGGTATAATTGAAAAAACTGTAGATCCTAAGTCCTTCATCTCTAACCAAATTCAATAAAATTACTATTTCAGTTTCATCATCTTTTTTGTCAGCATACCCTTTATGTATACATAATTCCAATTTCTGAACCCAGAACATCCACTTTTCAGATATCTTTCCCTGAAAGTCCATCACTTCTGGAACCTTAGGAAAGTTTTTTTTATCTCGGAGGGGTCAGTGGAGATTTAAGCTGCCACCATGTAATATGGTTATTTGAACTATTAGGGGAGAGTGGGGCAACTTCGACATGTTAAGGTTTGCAAGATTTTAAAGACGATTTGTATTTACAGAAATAAACACAACTTTATCTAAACATAGTGATAACATTTCTTTAGTAGGTAATAGGCATTTAAAACCAATATGTCAAATGACGAACTTGCGCTCCCCTAGGGGGCAAATTCGACAACATTATTCTGATACAAATACCTACATTTTATTTTCTACCTAAATTACAGCAAAAATTAAATGCTCTTCTTAGTATCATCAGATCTTTTTTTTTTGATAATCTCTAACCATATTGACATCCTAGAAACAAAAGTAATAGTTCGATAGTGCCGAAATAACGATTGGCGAAGTTGCCCCACCCAAGCGGATCTAGTCAGATATTTAAAAACATCTTATAGGAGCGTTTTTTACTGCCTATTATCAAATATTTTTACAAAAGATGGGTCAAAGTCACTGTGTAAAAATTAACTTGCGAAATAGAATGCTCTTACGGAACGAAAGTATTATTAGAGTAATAGCCAATCCTTGGATCAGAAATTTAAAAACTCGATAATTGCGTTTTATGCGATAAATTGAGTAGCTACTTTCTCCAGACTTAATGTGCAACTAACTGATACGTACATGCACCCTCGAGCCAGTTTCGGAATTTCCAAATCCAACCGATTCCTAGTAAACCGCGGTGACAAACTTGCCCCGCATGTCGAAGTTGCCCCACTCTCCCCTAGGTTTTGCAGAACAATATTTTTATTACATGTTTGATTTTATGATATTCTTCATTTAACAGTTGATATTTTCGTTCTTCTAAAAAGGCTTCCAGCTAAGAAGTTTCCTCCTTGGTTTTCCTAAGAGCTTAAAGAAAAAAGAATTTAAAAAAGAAAATATACAAAAAATATCTTAGTTCTGGGTTATATTCAGATTATAATAAATTTACTATTTTAATCTTTAAAAAAAGAATGTTACTAAAGTTACGTAACTTTAACTGAGTCGGCTCTAAGAAATAATCTTAGGAATTTTTGGGAATTTGTTAATGACAGGAAGGAAAAGAGTAGTAGGTATACGATCAGTTGTACACTTTGGTGATGTAAGTTGTTCTAGGGGAGAAAATATTGTTAGTTTGTTTGCAGAATGTTTTCAAAAATGTACAGTGATAGAGACTGTGTCTTGCAGGACTCGTTGCCTTCTGGGGACATCAATATTTCATAGTTTAATGTATCGATCTCATCAATTTATGAAAAATTATCAGATATAGACAAAGGTCCTTCCTCCATATCTTATTAGACGGTGCAGCTTTATATGTTTGCTCGACCACTTCATACCATTTTTAATCTGTCTCTAAAAACGAGAACTTCTCTCGCTTTTTGAAAATCAAGCTTCGTTATTCCCATACTTAAATCAGGTGATAATTCTCAAGTCAGTAATTATAGGTCCATTTGTATCTTGAGTTATATTCCAAAAGTGTTTGGAAGTTTAGTATGTGACTACTTCTCTGCTGGTTTGAAAAACTCCATCATCAATTTGGATTTCTTCCCTTTCGCTTCACTGAGTTAAACCTACTTCCATTTACAGATTTTCTCTCGGAATAAACTGACTTTACAAAAGCTTTCGATACAGTAAAATCTTGTCATACCTAACAAATAGAACCCAAATTGTACAAATTTGGAGCTTTAGGTGCACTGAAATAAAAATACCATCCGGTGTTCCGCAAGGTTTACATCTAGCACCCTTACTCTTCAATATTTATGTAAATAAACGATATTGCACCCTGTTTTCTGTCCTCATCTTTTTGTTATTGCGGATGATCTAAAATTCTATATGAAAATTCAAAGTCAACAAACTGCAATCAGATTTGAACCGCCTAACTCAATGGTGTAATCTGTGATCTCAATGAAATTGAACTTAATACCAACAAATGCCGATGAATGGTCTTCAGCCGAGGAAAAAATCCTATACGAGTCTATAATATTAGGGACTCTTTTTTATTGTTACTCCCTAAAATGAAACATCTGAGAGTATTACTTGATAACTACCTGTAATTATCATCGATTGTATCCACAGCACTACAAATGCTAGACTTTATTAAATGCTGCATAAAGACTTTCTAAATATTCAATCCCTCAAACTAGTATTCTGTTTCCTAGTGCGGCCTCATTTGGACTACTGTTCGTGTGTGAATTACTTAGACTCAGAAAACTCGCTTCAAATTACATCCTTCCAGGGTCTATATTCTTGAAACCTGGGAACAGCGTTCCCATGAGAACGAAGGTTCTGTCTTTGTCAGTGTTATGCAAATATAAATATGGGCGACTGAGACAAAACCTTCGTGTAAAGATCTAGATTCAACGCATGCACAGGAATTTCACTATTTTCTATAATTTATTACACTCAAACAGGCCAGGTTCAACCATTCCAAAACTATGGACAAAACTCGTTTTCAACTAGATCAGCTAGATTAGCAGATGGCTTCCCAAACCAATTAGACTGCTTCCAGAACCAAAAATTATTTAAAAGTAATCTAGGAGGAATGTGAGTGAAGTTCAGATGTTCTCTAGGGTGATGTTCACTTAAAATAATCTAGTCAATTCTAATACTCTCGCTTCCTGTGTCCTTGTATATTTGGTTATTATTATTATAGCTATTTTATTCTTTGTT